TCTCCACCCTCGTGCTGTTGCCGTTGGTACCTCCAAAAGCACCCCCTTGGGACCATCCGGTGGCTTGGCGCATGCGGGAGACCTCCTGGGCGTATCGGCGCACGTCTGGTGCCACCCTCAGCAGCTCTGCTCCTGATGCCACTCTGCCGGCTGACGGCTCAGGGCAGCGGATGAAGGAAATCTGGACGAGGGAGGGTAGGGAGAAGCAGAACGGGGACGCATGGGAGGATCGCATGGTGGAGCCTCAGAAGCCGTCTTGCTGACAATTCAGGGCAGCGGCAGCGCATGAAAGGAATCTGGGCAGGAGAGTGGTACGACGGGCGGCTACAAAAGCTGCCTCGATGAGGCTCCAGGCACAGGCAGCGAGGTGCAGTGCAGGCATTGATAGCACAAGACTCACCTCGCGCCGCGTGAGCTTCTCCCCTGCCACCACATGCCTGAGAAGGAACTCGGTAGCATTCTACTGCACGTCCACTGGCATGCGCGCATCAAACAGGTCGCCAAAGCGTGGGAGTGCAGGCACTGAGGCACTGAGGCACTGAGGCACTGAGGATCTGACTCACCGGCACCGGCGCCGCATGAGCTTCTCCCCGGGCACCACATGCCTAAGCGGCGTTCTCCTGCACGTCTACAGACAGTGGGAGTGCAGATAGTGAGGGTTCGTCTTTCGGGCCCTGACTCACCTCTCTACGCATGAGCTTCTCCCCAGCCACAACATGTCGTAGCAGGAACTCAGTAGCGTTCTCCTGCACGTCTACAGGCATGCGCGCATCAAACAGGTCCCCAAACCGCACCATCCCCACCTCCCCCGCCATACCCCTTTCCGCCCCCCCCATCCCCGCCTCCCCCTTCTGTCCCTCCCCCTCTCCTCCCCCCACACCTCCCCCCACACCTCCCCCCACACCTCCTCCCACACCTCTCCTCATCCTCCTCCTCATTCTCCGCCGTCTGGCCTCTCTCAGCCTCCTCAGCTCCTCTTCTCCTGTGCTCATCTCCTCTAATAGCCTACGCTGCTGCCTCCCTCCCCCAAGCACCCCCCCGGCGTTCCGGCTTCGGGTGAGGCTGTGGGAGCGTTTGGGGAAGAAGCGGGGGCGGGGGCGGAGGGTCCAGAGGGCGCGGAAGCGGGTGTTGGCGAGCACAGTGAGGGCCTCAGCGGCGCAGACAGCCTCCATTCGCTGCTCCAGGCTGCCCCGCGCGATCACCAAGCCCTGCCGGGGCCCACATGCTGCCACTGTGCGCTGCTCCCTGCAACGGCGCGATGTGCGCGTGTGGAACATCAGAGAGGCTGGTCTGCGCCACAGCTCGCTGGGGGTGGTGGTGGTGCTGCTGCTGCTGCCGTCGCCGCCGCCGCCGCCGCTGCTGCTGCTGTCGCCGCCGCTGCTGCTGCTGCTGCTGCTAATGCTGCTCGTGTCTGCCGGCTGTTCTTGGTTCTGCTCTGTGCTGATCTGCTGTTCTGGTGTTTCCTGGTGTGCTTCATTCGAATCTGAGCCTTCCTGAGTGGCCGTACCTGAGGGCTCTGACCCACCTCCTTCCCCTGACCCACCTTGTTCCCCTCCCCCACTCTCCCCTCCTGCTCCTGCTTCCCCATGCTCCCCCGCTGCTACCGCTCCCCCACCTTCTCCTCCCTGCTGCGCGCTGTCTGCTACCATGCCACTGCTCGCCCCTCCATCCGCAACTCTGGTTTCCCCGCCATCTCCCACCTGTCCTTCACCTTCGCCTTCTCTCCTTGCCTGCAACCCCTGCTCCTGGGACCCCTGCTCCTGCAAGCCCTGCTCCTGCACTGCCTGCTCCTTTTCCTGGTTACGAAATTCATCCCCGAATTCACCACCACCACCCCCTCCGTCCACCCTTTCTGCCGTGCCCCCCTCTCTTCCTTCTGCACCCCCTCCCATCCAGCCCGTCCCTCCCATCCCGCCCACCTTCTCCCATCCGCCCTGTCCAACCACCCCTCCAGCGCTCCTCTCCCAGCCCACCACTCCCGGCACTGCCTGCTGGCTCTCCCTTCGCACCTTCGCCCCCGCGCTCCTTATCCCCTCCACCAGCGCGCCCTCCCTCGCGGACAGCACATGGAGACCCAGCAGCGCGGAGGCGAGGAGCAGCAGCAGCAGCGGGACGAGCAGCAGCGGGTGGATACGGCAGCAGTGGCGGGAGCGGCGGCGCTTGCGGCTGGGGGAGGAGGATGGGGAGGTGGGAGGAGACTCACGGTGGCCTGTGAGGAACGAGGTCAGGCTGCTGCGGCAGTCTCTGGGAAAGAACCATAGTAGGCATCCCCTTCGTCTGTTTGCTCTCGCTTTTCCTCCGTCTCCTCCCGTCCCTGCTGCTGCTGCTGCTGCTGCTGGCCCTGTTTCAGTAATAAGCTTGGCTGAATCACGTGCTGGTTCACCACAACCAAGCCCGTCCAGACCAGCACGAGCAGAACCAGGCGTGTCCCTACCACTCTCACTCCCCGTTTCATCCCCATCCACCCCGTACAACCCACCTCCCACCACCTCATACCGCACTCCCTCCCCGTCCGCCTCATCCACTCCCATGGGGGTAATGCTCCCCCCCATCCACTCCCACACTCCCTCCGCCACAGGCGCCACTGCTTTAACCACTCTGCTCTCCCACAACGCACCAAAAGGCAGCCCTATGCCGAAACGGAACGGCAAAGCAGAGGAACGCGCCCTAGCGGAGTCATCTGGAGTGTCCTGGTCCCCTTCTCCCCGGCGCTTGCCCTGCTGCTGGCTGCTCGCAGCGTCGCTGCTGTCCAAGTCAACGGTCAAGGGAGGGATGGCTCGTCGCCGCATCTGTGTTGCGCCTCCTGTGTCCGCACAAGGGACTGCTGCTGTGGCGGGAACTGTTGTGGTGGTGGGGACTGCTGCAGCTGGTGGCACTGCTGCTGCTGGTGGTACTGCTACTGCTGCTGCTGGTGCTGCTGGCACTGCTGCTGCTGGCACTGCTGCTGCTGCTGGCACTGCTGCTGCTGCTGGCACTGCTGCTAGTGCTGGCACTGCTACTGCTGGCGCTGCTGCTGCTGCTGGCACTGCTGCTACTGCTGGCACTGCTACTGCTGCTGGAGCTGCTGCTGCTGGTGGCACTGCTGCAGCTGTTGAGGTGGCTGTTGATGGGCCTGCCAATGAGTCTGCTGCTGCTGCTGCTGCTACTGCTGCTACTGCTACCTTTTCAGGAGCAACAGCTGCAGCACCTCCTGCTGCTGCTGCTGTCGAAGGCGGCACTCCGGTTGTTGACGTCGCCATTGCTGCAGCTGTCGTCCGGTCAGTGCGGATTGGAGCACCAGAGGAACCAGCATCAGCAGTCGTGTCGGGTTCACTGGGTAGCGCTGCTTCTAGCCTGCCGTGTCCATCATCCACAGAAGCGGAGGTACCCTTGTCCACAGGTGATTTGGTCGGTCCAGAGCTCTCAGCCAATACACTGCTTCCAGATTCCAGCATTACTGGCTCTCCTACCGTAGGCTCTGGACCAGATACTTCAGGCGCTGCTTGTCCTCCCCCCGCCTGCTCCCCTCGACCTGTGCCTACGCCTGGTGGGTTTTCACCGGACTCCTTAGTTGAATCACGAGCCGTTTCTGCTCTGCTTGCGTTTGATTCCTGTATGGTCCCAGCATCCTGTCGCACTGACTCGGAGGTTGACCCAGCTGTACCGCTCGCGTCTGCGCTTTGGAGTTCCTCCGCAGAAGCAGCATCAGCACCAGCATTAGCAGGAGTAGATGCGCTGGCAATACCAGCATTGCTGGCTTCAGCAGTGCTATCGTCACCGCCAGAAACAGGAATCTCCTCGGGACCAGTCGTCATACCTTCACGCGCGCGATTCGCTTCTTAGGCCAACATCCAGTAATCTTTGCAGTGCGACGTACAATGTGGTGGTATTTGCTGAGCGTCTTGGTTAGCAATGTTGTGCCAGACACAAACGTACATTTCACTCACGTTCAACGCACTGTGCTCCAGAAAGTGGTCCTGAAAGCTACTCCCCTTGCTGCTATTCTTGGGAGCAGGTCGTACGGAAGGAGGTCCTAGGCTATGGATGATCAGGTGTGTTGGCGATGATCCCAAGGTAGTTGGGAAGAGGAGGTTCAGGCTTTCCGCGCTAAGATTGAAACTCGATTTCGAGACTGCAGGGTGTGTATAGGCCAGGAAGGAATGATGGTTACAGAAGGACATAATTTCCCGATGCAGCCCTTTTCACCTTTTCAATGTGTTGGGAATTGGTAGATGGCGGCTGTGCTATGGGTAAGCAGAAACATTATTACAGGTCTATCGCATAATAATAGTTGGAGGAATCACCAATTGATTAATAGGACTTAAATTCATGATCCATGATTCCTCCCGTAGGATGAAATTCATGGAGCACTGGCTCGTCGACTCGTTACAAACAGTTCTCCCAGTTTCTTTTTGCCTCGATCTTGTCTCCCTCGGGAATTGCCAGGAGCGGGAGATCTGTCAGACCAACATCGAGGATCCGCTGAGACTGCAATACATGTGATCAGTCTGGACCTTGTACGCCCAAGTCTTCAGTTAATCCTAGAATCCGCGATAGCACTGGGAGCTTACGAAGCAGCTTGTGTTCTAGACACGCGTCTTGGCTCTGACAGCTCTCAGAGCCGGCATGTCTTCGTTCTGCGCATAAGCAATCGCATGAGTCATCACTGGAGTGTTCAAGTGCCGGCCTAGCGTTGCACTGGGAATCAGTAACGTTGCTTATTCTTACGGTTATCAGCGAGACGCCTAGAGGTCGAAAACTCGTTTAGCGAACACATGATAAGTAATGCACGGTTAATGGAAGAGGCTTCTGTGAGGAGCCTCTAGATTCCTTGATCGCGACTGTAGGAGCCATCCGAAGCCAAGAAGTTGTCTTGACAGAACCATCGCCTTAGCGCTTCAAATATCCCACTTTCTTTACGAAAGCAAGGAGAAGAAGAGGATCTTGTAGGTCTTGCGTTGATTCTGCTCGCCGCGTTGTCCTGTTGGCTGTGACCTCGTCGCGTCGCCGTCACATGTGCGATGCTTTCCGACGAAAGTTCCATCGGCGAAGGCGTCGCACGGCTGAATCGATGGCACCTGGGTCCCGGCACATCGAGGTGCGACCGCTTGTTACAGTCACACAACACCTATCACCCTTCCATGAGATTCTGTTCGCATTTGCCTTTCGCCGTCTATTTTTCCAACTTTCCGAGCTAACACTATACGAGCCTAAACGCACTCGCTGCAATACGGCTCTCATATGGATCCTGGACACTTTTAGGGAGCCCAGCTCATTTTAATCTGCTCCAGCAGTAATACCTGCTCTATTGTGCACTTGGAGCTTGATCTCCCTACTCGAGCCATCCCGTCCACGCCTTCTCAACTCCTGAATCTCCCACTCACAGGGTGCAGCAGCAGTCGCACGCGCCGCTGCACGCCTTCTACGTGGTGGGGCGGTCGCTGCGCGTGCTGTCGGTGTTCGCGGCGTACCGCTTCCTGGTGGAGTCGGACGTGTCGGTGCTGCTCTTCGCCTTCTTCTCGCTCCTCGGCGCCGCCATCCTCTTCTTCCTCCTCCAACGGCCCTGGAAAGGGAAACGCCTCACCAACACGCAGGTAAGCCTTGCCGACACCAAGGCAACGCCTTTTCGACACCCAGACAACGCCTCATCCACCCCAAGTAATCCCGGTTCACCGATATTCGAGCCATCCGTAAGCCAGCGTTCGAGGTCTCTGCACGGGCTGGCTGTGTTATCGGTGTAAAGCTTCACGTGTGTTGCTCTTTCCGTTGCTCACCCCCATTGTGGCCCTGCTCCTGCCGCTTTCTCCCTCGGTTTCATTCTCCCTCGTTTTCTCCTTTTCATCCATTACCCCCTCCCCCCACCCGTTTCCCTTCCTGCTACCCCGTTTGTGTCACATGATCAGTGGGGCATCTCAGTGATGAATGGAGGCGTGTTGGCCCTCGCTGTTGTCACATGGGCGTACGGTCTGAAGCAGTGCGGCCCTCTAAGGTGAGTACGCCCTCCCTCTCCTGTCTTCAATCTCCAGTTTCTTTCAATTCGCCGTAAAAGTGGTACGTGCTCCGTTTCCTCATTGGCATGCCTCTCCCTCACCTCACGGCCTCCCTCCCTCTCCTTCAACGGTGATACTCCCATCCATCAGGTCTGTGATGGCGGAGTACTCAGGAGCGGTGGTTGCCACCATATCCACCATGATATTCGGGCGGCGAGGTCACCGCGTTCTAAAGGTAGGCGTGGCTGATGAAGAAATTAACGAAATTTTTATGAGAGAGAGTCGTAGGCTACGTTTCGGTGCACCCGTTCAATAGCAATGCTTGTTCCGATCCAACCACTGCATAAACTCCCTGCCGTCGCCCCCACATTTCCTCCTCCCCAACTCCCCCTTCCCTTCCCCTGTGCAGCTGTACGGCGCCATTGCAATGCTCGCTGCCTTCTACCTCCTGGCCTCGGGAATCCCGCTGGGCCCCACTCTTCCGCCGGACTTCCCACCTCCTGCCAACCCCGTTCCCTTGGGCCTAGACAGCACCGCCGCCGCCACTGCGGCCCTCACAGCCGCCGACAGCAGCACTGGCAGCAGCAGCAAGGGGGGAGCAGCAGGGGCAGCGGGAGGTGGGGCTGCAGGAGGGGAGGGCGGTGCGGGGTTGTTGGCGTGGCAGGTTGCGCGGATGTCTGGGAGTGGGATGGTGGAAGCAGCAGGGGGCAATCCGTTGACGGCCATGCTGCTGCCCGTGGCTGCTGGAGTGCTCTTTGCGCTGAGACGACTGCTTGCCCGGCTGGGAAAGGTACGGACGTAGCACCAGTGTGGATGGTATCAGGTGCCATTGGTGATATCTGAGAGTGCAATTGTGAGGTTTTTGTTGCATTGCATCGCGTTGCATTGCATTGTGTGTTTTCACTAACCCCTCATGTGCATCTGTGCTGCTGTGCTGCTGTGCTGCTGTGCAAGGTGCTGCCTGCTTACATCATGCCCACCCCCTCCCCCTGCTTGGTCCCCCCTCCCACCTCCGTGTCTCTCCCTCTGCGTCTCCCATTGCCCAGTCGCAGCAGAAGAAGCGCCTGCATGCAGTCACAGCAGTGTCCTCCGTCTTCTTCCTCCTGCCCATCGCCATCTTCCAGCTCAGCGGGGTAAGTGCCACGTGGCAGGGCATGGCATGTGCCACGTGGCAGAGTAGAGTGGCTGCCACTGTGGCACGGTGAAACAGCAGCCTGCGCAGTAAGCCTTGTGAGTGTGCTTCTCCTTAGGCCTCTTTTCTCTCCCCATCTATATAACGACGTCTCCAGGGTCAACATATGCCAGCTATCCGCTCGTCCCCTCCCTCCCCTTTCAATCCCCTCCCTTCCCTCTCAAGTCCTCTCCCTCCTCCCTCCCTTGCTCACCCGCGTCATCCGCCACGGAGACAGAGGGGCGGCCCACTTTCCAGGGCTTCAATGCCCCTTCATACCGTTCCTCTCTCCCCCTCTTCCCCCCCCCCACTCGCCTGCACCACCAGCCACGGAGCGCAAGCCTTAGACCTGGAGGCAGGGGTTTTGCCACAGGGCGCAAGCCTTTCCCTTTCCCTTCCTCACCTCCTCCCCCCCCACTTCCCTGCTCGCCCGCACCACCCGGCAGGGAGCGCAAGCCATGGACCTAGAGGCGGGGGGGCGGCCGATGCAGGTGTATGCGCTGGTGATCCTGGCAGGACTCGTGTTCTCCTTCTATGTGGACACGCTGGCGGAGGACAAGTGAGTGGGAGAGGGAGTATACGAGGGGGGCTGAGAGGGAGAGGGAGAGGGAGAGGGAAGGGAGAGGACTCTATTCCGAAGCCACCTCGATGCAGGTGTATGCGCTGGTGATCCTGGCAGGCCTTGTGTTCTCCTTCTATGTGGACACGCTGGCGGAGGACAAGTGAGTGGGAGAGGGAGTATACGAGGGGGGCTGAGAGGGAGAGGGAGAGGGAGAGGGAAGGGAGAGGACTCTATTCCGAAGCCACCTCGATGCAGGTGTATGCGCTGGTGATCCTGGCAGGCCTTGTGTTCTCCTTCTATGTGGACACGCTGGCGGAGGACAAGTGAGTGGGAGAGGGAGTATACGAGGGGGGCTGAGAGGGAGAGGGAAGGGAGAGGACTCTATTCCGAAGCCACCTCGATGCAGGTGTATGCGCTGGTGATCCTGGCAGGCCTTGTGTTCTCCTTCTATGTGGACACGCTGGCGGAGGACAAGTGAGTGGGAGAGGGAGTATACGAGGGGGGCTGAGAGGGAGAGGGAGAGGGAGAGGGAAGGGAGAGGACTCTATTCCGAAGCCACCTCGATGCAGGTGTATGCGCTGGTGATCCTGGCTGGGCTCGTGTTCTCCTTCTATGTGGACACTCTGGTGGAAGACAAGTGAGTGGGGGATGGAAGGAGAGGTGGGTTGAAAGGGGGAGAGGGAGAGAAAGGGGACTTTTTGAATGACTCACAAGCCACCTCGATGCAGGTGTATGCGCTGGTGATCCTGGCAGGGCTCGTGTTTTCCCTCTATGTCGATACACTGGCGGAAGACAAGTAAGTGGGAGGGGGAGGGGGAGGGAGGAGGGGAAGAGGGGAGTGGGTGGGGAGGATGGGAGGGGATGGAGTGGGGGAATGGGGAGAAAGGGGTTTGAGGCCCCTGGGAAGTGATCCTGCTGGGGCTCGAGTTCCGTGCTATGTCGGTCCTGTTTCTCCCCTCTCCCCCCTCCTTCAACCCCTCTTTTCCCCCCATTCCCTCCCTCTTCCCCTCCCTTCCCCCCCTCTTCCCCTCTTCTTTCCCCCATCTCCCCACCCCCTTCGCTCCCCTCCCTTGACCCCCCCTTCCCCCTTTTTCCCCTACCCTCCCCACCTCTTGCAGGCTGCGTATCGGCCCATCCTCACTGAAGCATCTGTTGGTGACGAGTGTGGCTGTGGTGGCGCTGCTACTAATGTACCGAATGCACTTCAGCCCGCTCTCCTTTGTCCTCATCGCCCTCCTCCTTGCTGCTGGTAAGCTTTTGAGTCGACTCAATAGTCACCTCTGCTGGTGACGAGTGTGGCGGTGGTTGCGCTGCTACTCATCTACCGCATGCACTTCAGCCCGCTCTCCTTCGTCCTCATCGCCCTCCTCCTCGCCGCTGGTATGCTCCTTCCTGCGGCTCCTTACACATTCCATCTTTCAACCTCCCTCTTCGATCTTCTACACCCCACAGCCCCCCCTCACCACAACCCCACCCACCACACGCCCCTTCTTCTTTTCCTCCTTTTCTCTCCCCTCTTATGCACACTCTCCGTTTTTCTGATTAAGGGGTCCTTGTCAACAGGGCAACCGGGTCCTTGCCAATCAGTGGAGCCGTTTCTCTGAGAGTCAAGTGTCTCTGTCTCACCCCTGCCCTGCCCTCTCTCCCCAACCCACCAGGGCTGCACTGGTCCACGGCCATAGAGCGCAGCAAGTCAGCTGGGTCACTGGCAGAGGATGGGGTAGCAGCCAAGGAGAGGCGCAGAACAGCCGCTCTGGCAATGCTACAGGTGAGCGTGTGAGGCAAGGAGTGTCACAAGGGTGCAAGTGAACCGAGCTCCTGCACCTCTTCTGTGCAGAAACAAGCTCTGAGGCGTCTCGAATCGAAAGCTGTACGTGCACGCGCCTTTCCCGTGTGTGGATACATTTGCTGCTTAAGGAGGGTTTCTCGAACAAATTCTAAGGCTAGCAGGCAGATGGGTGGCGTGGTGGTGTTAGGTTACCTTACTTGGTCTCAGACACATGCCGGTTTTGGCTGAAGACCAGTGAAAATTGGTTCCTGTTTTTGGTCTGGTCTGAATGAAGTGGCCAGTAAGTCAGTGGACCTTTACTCTCTCTACTTTCTTATTGTTAATTTCCTCTTTGGTCTACTCAAAGGCTTCCGTTTGTTTTGGTCAGTAGCGTAGGCAAAAAGAGCCTGGCTTGGACGAGTGACTGACGCATGGTATCCTGCCCTCTCCTGCCATGGTGGGATGTGTTGCACACACCCGCAGGGAGCCATGGACCACGTCTTGTCCGATTCCAAGTCACGCCGCATTGCGCGTACGTATGCCACGGGCTAGGTAGCCCATGCATGATAAAGAACATGGACTAGTGCATAGGTATGGGCGAGGTAGCAAGCAAGCACATGGTGCTACATGTACCGCAGGGAGCAATAGACCACGTCATGTCTGACTCCAAGTCTCGTCGTGTTGCGCGTACGTATGGGATAGATAGCAATCACGTGGTCTTCTTATCATCTTTGGCTGCTTTCATGCATGCACCAAAGAAGAACTTCAAACGTATTGCAGACTGTAAAAGGTCAAGCAGAATATACATTTGATCTCAATTCATAGATGTATGCATGCAGAATCAAAAACGTATTTTTATCGTCCACAAGCATGAAAAAAGCGCCGTCTATTGATTCTTCTCATACCGAGTAAGATATTAGATTGTGAGATTTCAGTAATGCGATGATATCAGCCTGCTGTTCATATGTGCTCGTCGTTTCCCCAATCCGTTACACTGATTCTGCCCCTCCTCCTCTCACACATGGTCCTCCGTTAACCCTATTTCCCCTTTCTGGAGTTTCTTCTTGCTTTCGAGTATGGTCCCCCTTCTGTTAACCTTCTTCGTCCCTCCTCTTTGCCTCCCAACCCCCTCCCATTCCACGTGCCGTGCCTCCTCTCGCCGCCCCCCCCAGTCTTTCTCCTCATCAACGCAGCGTTTATGATCGTCGAGTTCTCTGTTGGCTTCCTTTCCAACAGGTGCGTTTGAGCTGAGCTGGTCCGGGTTCGAACAAGATTTCGTTAATCCATAGCCCCATGCATTTTTGTGATGCTATTCTCCTCCCATGCTCTCTTCCTCGCCCCACACCCATGCACATTCCCTCTGCTTCTCCTCCCTCGTCCTTCCCTCTTTCCTGTTCTCCACCTGCCATATCTCTGCCGCTCTTCTTCCCAAATTCTTCCCTCTCTCCTTCTTCCATCCTTCTCTCATGAACCCACCTTCTGCCCACCACCACCCTGGTCTTCTTATCCCTTGTGGCTTTTGGTTGACTCAATAATTCACCCAAAACCACCCCCCTTTCCCCACTTCCCCCCCCCCCTCCGCCATCAGTCTGGGGCTCATATCAGACGCGTGCCACATGCTCTTTGACTGTGCCGCCCTCGCCATCGGCCTCTATGCCTCCTACATCTCCCGCCTCGACTCCCCTTCTAAGTTTGCCTACGGGTTCGTGAAATCTTGCTAGGCTCCAGCTCAAATTACCTGTTCTGTTGAAGTGCATTTCTTGATGGCATCGCATGGCATGGCGTGGCATGGTGATACGTGGCGTGGCATGGTGGTACGTGCGTGGCGTGGCGTGTGGCGTGCCAAGAAGCAACTGTGTGTGGCTCTCTCGCTGTGATCTCACAGTTGCTTGTTGGCACTGTCCAGTGGTCTGTGCTGTGCTGTGTGCTGAACTGCTTAGGTGCACGTACTACTGATTTTCTGCCACATCTGCTGCTTGAAGTTGTTGCCAGATATCTCCCATTAATCTATCTCTCTTTACCATCCCGTATGCCATCCCATCCCATCCCATTGCCTCCTGTCCCATCACACCCGTTTCCCATGCCATCTGCTCGGCTTTCTTTCGCAGCTACGGTCGCTTTGAGGTGCTATCGGGCTTTGTCAATGCGGTCTTCCTAGTGCTCATCGCCGCACTCATTGTCTTTGAGTCCATTGAAAGGTGCGCCCTCCTTCTCTCCATGGTTTTGTTTCTCTCAAAACTGATGCGTGTTTCTTGCTTCAAGCCGCGTCAAAACACAGCTGTCTCCTGCATGGCATTCAAACCAAACAGCTTGATTATTTCAGAGCCTGCTTCAAAGCTCGCTTCTGAGCGTGCTTTAGAGCTTCACTCCTCTCTTTCTGTCTAGATCCTGGCTTCTTCACCCTCATGCCTTCCTCTTGTTGCTCCCTCTCTCTCTCTGTCTTTCTCACCTCAGGATTCTCGACCCACCAGACATTTCAACAGCAAACCTGCTGGCGGTGTCGGTGGGGGGCCTGGTGGTGAACATGGTGGGACTCGTGTTCTTCCATGAGGCACACCACCACGCACACGGAGGCAGCTGCTCGCACTCCCACTCCCATGATCACTCCCATCCTCATTCTCATTCTCACCATGAGCACGAGCATGCGCATGGGCATGGGCATGAGCATGAGCATGAGCATGCCCTTGGTGGGTCATGCTCCCATTCGCATCATGACGACCATCATCATCATCACGAGCATCAAAACAACCATGCCCATCATGACCATAACCATAAGCATGACCATAGGCATGACCATGAACATGAGCATGAGCTGAATCATAGGCATGACCGTACACATAAGCATGAGCATGATTGCCAAAGGCATGAGCACCAGCATGAGGACCATCATCAGCATGACCACCACAAGCCTCATAATCATCAAAAGGATACGCATGGGTGTGACCATGGGCATGGGCATGGGCATGGGCATGAGCATGGAAACGGGCATAGGCATGAGGGGGAGGGTGCAGTAGGAGGTGACGACTGGGAGCAGGAGAATTGGGAAGATGCCGGGAGCAACAGCACCATGACCACCAGATCTCTCTTACAATCACCCATCTCGGTATCATCACCTTTGTTTGAGTCACCAGCGCTACCGTCTTCAGGGGCAGAGAAACTTTTGGCCGTGCACAAAGCGAGGAGGAGAATAGGGCAAGGGGGTGCCGCTGCAGGAGGAGATGAAAATTTTCAGGCGCTGCCCGTGAGGCTGGATTTCGAGGAGTGGGCAGGAGAAAGCAAGTCAGATGGGGAAGGAAAATCGCGTGAACAGAAGCATGGGCATAACCACAGGCATGAGCATGGGAATGGGCACACACACGAGCATGAGCACGAGAGTAAAGCCATGCCCCACGATGAATCGTGCTCGGCGCTGAGCATGGATGTGGGAGGTGGGCATGGGGATGGGGATGGGCAGGGACACCGGGAGGAAGATGGAGGAGGAGGAGAGGCATGTGTGCAAGAGGTGCTCACATCCGGCAGTGCCCATGTGGACCATAACATGCACGGTAGGCATGCCATCTCCCTCTCTCCCTCCCTTCTCCTCCCCCTCGCTCCATATGCTGGGTTCGCCCCTTCCTTTTCCATCGCTTCACATGCTGGGTCGTTTTCTCCCTTCTGAAATCCTCCTTTTCAGCATGATTTCGCCTCTCCCGCTGTGTTGCTCAACACTCCATCACTCTCAAAATCTTTCCCCTTTTTTCCTGCTTCCAGGAATCTTCCTGCACGTGTTGGCAGACACACTGGGCAGTGTGGGGGTGGTGATATCAACGCTGCTCATCAAATACAAGGGCTGGATGCTCACAGACCCGGTGAGGAGTGGTCTATAGGCAAATGGGAAAGGGAATGGAAATACAGGGACACATGCAGCCAGATGGGTAGTTCCTTGCACAGCCTTCCTTCCTTTCTTCCTCCCAATTCATCTGCAGCCTTCTCCTTGCCCCTCCTTTCCCACTTAATTCCGCTTCCTGCCTCCCTCTCCCCTCTCTCCCCTACCTCCACACAACCACCAGGCGTGTTCCATATTCATATCAGCGCTCATCATCAGCACTGTCATCCCTCTGCTGCAAAACTCCGCTGAACTCATTCTGCAAAGAGTTCCTCGGGCAGCTGAGCACCAGATTTCAGCTGCCCTGAAGAAGGAGAGCTGGTGGGTGGGACTAGATAGTTTTGACTGTTCAGTGAGTTTCAGGATTTCAGAACTAGGTACTGTCACCCCGTTTCTGCTCCATGCCCCATTCCATGCACCACGCCTGTCACTTATTAATCAAAGTCATTCACATGTGTTCCCATGCCTGACCCATCATCCCGTTGCCCATGACAGATTGAGTCGATGGCAGGAGTGGTGGCGGTGCGGCAACGGCACTTCTGGTCCTTCACTCCCAAGATGCTAGTGGGCTCAATCCACGTGCTCATCTCACCAGATAGCCTCAAAGATAGAGCCAAAGACGGAGGTGCAGCGGCGCATAACAGAGATGCTTATAGCGAGTACGGGGGCAAGCAGCAGCGGGTGGAGGCGGTTCAGCAGCTGCGGCAGTCGTTGAGGCGGCGGGTTTCGGATGTATTCCGGGCGGTTGGCATCACACACATAACGGTGGAGGTGGGTACTGAAAGAGCATTCACATGTGGCATGTGCATATTTGAAATGTTACTGCTGAGTTGACACATAAGGTCAACATTCACGTATGGCCATTCACCTGTGGCAAGGGCATGCACCTGTTGCATGGGCATGTATGCTAACTTGCATGCAGCCTCTCATGGTATGGAACACAGGGCACAGGGCATGGGGCATGCGCCTGATCCGTCACAGCTCTGAGCTCCTGTTTGTCCTGTCCAACTCCCAAGCACGTCATACCTTCCCCACTCAGCTAGTTTTGAGGCGCCTCCAAACTAGACTCCTTCACAGCTCTGAGTTCCAGTCTGTCCAACTCCCCAGCACAGCATGCCTTCCCGATTCAGCCCCCCACCCCACGCTTCATCATTCAACCACTTCCCACTTCCCTGCTCTCGTGCCTGAGCTCACCTCCTTGCCTCCCCTGCCTGTGCGTATTCTCTTGCGTCTTGCAGATTGAGGAAGCATCAAGCCATCACCTTCATCATAAGCACTTGCACCATCGCCACCACCATCATCAGTCCCATGCATCGCCATTCCACACCCCCTCCCACGCATTCTCCCCTTACGCTGCACAATAACACCCATCCAGCAACTTGCACTAGTAACTGCTATGCTGATCCGACATATCCAGCAACATATGAGATCATTAGCACGCTTCAGGGCCCTCCGGGTGTTGCTGTGCTGCTATCTGCTGAGCATTAGTTCCTCCATTTTACATTGCTTTGCAGCTACCCTAACTCGTTTCTGCAGGCTGCAGTCTGGCTGGACTCTTGTTGACCACAAGTCGTCCTAACCCGGACTAAGAAATGTGTATGCCATGACCACAAGGAATGTGGCCAACGCTAAGCTTGGCAGCTGCCTGACTGCCAACATGATTGTTACGGTACTGAGCAAATCAAAGCCAACTCGAAGCTGACGAATGGCAAAGTTTAATAACAGCCAAGTCGCAAGCTGACGAATGGCAACAAGTGCAAATACACCCTAATGCTCACTCAACCGCCCACTCTGAACACGCCCAGTGCCACTCCATACGCCCAGTGGTCGACATTCACAGCCAACGGCCCGAACGTTACTAGCCCACGACAAAACCAAGATATTCGAGTTTACCAGACAAAACACGCTGGGCTACCCATAATTTTGACAGCTGTAGTCGATTTTGTCACCTTTGTTCTGCATTCAGTCCCATTCTGCCCCTAGCGGGCGCGTGCTCGAGAGAGGAGCACGGGGAAAGATGGGGAAGGGGACTGAAATAGGCATCAAGTGTACTGTAACAGCCAAGTCACACACAGCTGACGACGAATGAACCAAGCAGTCCATCCGGGCCCTGGTGGGTTGGTTTCCACCAGGTCCCCCTCCTGGTGGAAACGGGTTCCCACCAGGGCCGCACGCGGATGCACCGCCTGTCGCGTTCCCCAGCTGGGAATTGCACGCGAGAGGGAGTTGCCCGCCCGCGTGCAGGTCCCTAGCGAGATCCGGGCGGCGGAGTCAGCTGGCGGGGTGGTCCCGCGCCGAGCCCCCTCCACGCCAGCGCCACGCAGTGTGGTCCCAACCCCGGGCCCCCCCAGGGCCCAGCCCTGGCTGGCGAAACCCCTCGCTCTCCAATCCGAGGGCGAGGGCCGAACCCCAGCGCGCCGAAACGGATCCGGCCAATCGGAGCCGTTTCCGATGGGCTTGTTGCCCGGGCAGGGGCCCAGCGAAACAATTCGCACAACTGGCCGCTCGTGCGAAGCGTCGCCTGTGCGCGCCGGAACGAATCCGGCCAATCGGAGACGGTTTCTTCCGGATCCCTGGTTCGCAAGCCCCCCGCGAAATACTCTTCGCGCGTGCGAAGGGTAGCCAGTGTTCGCCCATAAATCATCCGCAATTCAGTAGAGTGTTCACCCAACTTACTGTTGTTACACTTTTCTTATTATTCGCAAACCGTAAACGCGATTGAACGGTATACAGTCCTTCACGTGACATTTCCCTTTAGATCAAAATTCCCCCCTCACTTATTTTGCGAATTAAAATCCCCCACGCACACTTTTTTTTCGAGTGACACGCGTGGTGCGTTTTGACAAGTCAATTAAACGCGATTTACATTTTTTTGCACGCGTGTAGTGTATTATTCGTGTGTCTAAAAAGTGGTAGTTTCAGATAGTTACCCTGCTTTTTGGCGGACGCGTCGAGGAATACACCCCGCCCGAGGTGATAACCGTCGCCCCTTGCATGCAGACCGCGTTCGAAGTGCTACATGGCGGGACGTGGTTCCACCCGCATGCATGGACGGGAACGCACCCACGTCGGGATGTCCGAAGGGGCGCGCGGGTTCCTCCCCACCACGCGCAGTGCCCCCCCCCCCCCCTGCCTGTTGCTCGCGCTGCCCCCATCCAGGATGCGACCCGTCCCCTTTTAGGCACTTGCAACAGGGTTTCACTTGCTCATTTTTCCCTTTCTCACTTTGGTTCCCTTCCTTTTGTCATCCTGCTAGTCCTCTCCGCCTTCCTCTCGGTGCGAGCGCTTTTCCGAGCTGTAGCGTTTGTGGTCGCGTTCGCGTTTAGGTAGAGGGCTAAACTCGTAGGGGTATCGCGTGCCCGCTTATCCTCGTTTGCACGCGTTCTGCCCCCGCCATGGCCGGTCGCGAACTGAAGGCGCTGTTGAACAATGGCGAGCAGGGCGCTACTTACACTGCTACGATCTCGATCGCTGGCGCCACTGTGGAGCTCCCCCCCGAGCAGAGGAAGTGCTTCTCCGATGATAAGCATCCTTTCACCGCGACCTCCTTCGACTTTCTCGCCTGGTAAGTCTACCTTGGGATGGATGGCTGGTTTAGGACGCCTTTTTGGGCCGCATCGCGGCTTTGTGCGGCTTGTTTAGGACGTCCACATGGGTCCCCTCGCGGTCGCGTGCATCGCGTTCGCTGCCATCATCTGAACCCTTGCTTCCGTTCGCGAGACCATTGATTCCCTTCGGGATCGTTTCCACATACATCGCGACTACTGTTCCATGTACTGGCTTATCTAGTTACGCCCGCATAACACCCCGACCGCGATGATTATGTGGCCATATGTTCTCCCGTTTCCCGTACAGCGTGGTAGTTCGGAAGTGCGTGTCCCCGTCGCTCCAGGAGGCGATACAGGTGGTGCCCTCCAATGTTGTCGCGGACATCGTCGCAGGTGGTGAGGCCGCGCACGTGGCGTTTGACGGTCTGCTTGGATGTAAGCTGGTCGCGTTCTGCATTTGGCCCGGGTGAGTACATCGGGACTAGTTGTGGGCTGGTTGTGCTTTGCCTACGGGTTTGCCGATAAGTGCTGATGCGAGTCGTTTTGTGTCATATTCTCATGTCAGGGAAATGACTGACAAGAAGGCCTCCAACGCGGGCATGTTGCTGCTTCTGCGACCGGACCACCTGGGGCTTGACGCGACATCACCCTGGAAAACTCGCTTTGTCCGCGTCTGTCACCCCACTGCCGCGGCCGAGCATCTTACCGCGATAGACAAGATTGTCAAGTAAGTTTGTACTAGCAGTGCTATTCTTCCGCTTTGGTTGCTACTACTATTCTTCCCTGTCTGAGAGATACCATTTGAACCGTGCAGGTGGTTTCACGGTCGCGTTTGCCTCTATTACGGGAGCGTTTCGGTCCAGTGCGACCGCGCTGGGAAGCTGGGAGATCCGTCGCGCCTCGTGGACCTGGTGAGTATGTGGAATGTCGCGTTTGATTTGGTCGCGTTTGTTACGTCGCAGAGCCTAAACTCTACACGCCATCGTCACGGCTTCCTTTTCATGTTATTTCTTCCTGGAAGGCCCCTTGCGGTCCACTCACATGTGCGTACGCGTTCGACAGAGTACTCAACGACCTCGATGCGGTTGTTGGACACGACCCTGCGCCTCGCATTGCCAAGCCAATTGCCAGGACGCTGACCACATTGCGGCAGGATGCGAAACGTGCCGCGGAGGAGCTCGCGTTCAGGTCCAGGTGCGGGATTGCGGACGGCCATGGGGGGGATCACGAACGTGTGAGGTCGCACGAACAGCCGGCGGGATCATATGATTCGGGTCGCGATGCACCCGCACTCAATACAGCTCTTGCGCTCGCGAACGCAGGGGAGGAGGAGCAAGGGGAGGGGGAGCAGGAGAAACCGGACAAGGAGGAGGGCTCGAGCTCTGACCGCGACGAGGACGCCCCTGTGAACGCGCCGCAGGGTTTAGGTGCCAAGAACGCGCAGGAGGAGGCAGACGAGGCAGAGGGACAGGGTCGCGGAGAGGTCGAAGGGGATGCTGCGGAGGATGACCAGCGCGGTGATTTGGAGCTGGAGGCTTCGGTAGAAGTGGAGGGGGAAGAGGATGAGGAAGAGGAGGAAGACGTGGAGGAAGTCGCGGCCAACAATGCCTGGCGGGAGGCGAGCGCGGTCGCGGGTGCAGGGAAGAGTATTCGCGGTCTGCAGGCGGTGCTGTCCCCCCGTCACGGTAGCGCGACCCCGTCGACAGAGTATGCGGGCAAGAGTCCTGTCGCGGGCAAGCGTAAACACTCGGAGCTGGTGAAGATGGATCCTGCTAAGCTGGCCGCGGAGATCCTCCGATTGGACGAGCAGGTGAAAAATCAGAAGCGCAAGCTGGACGAGCTCGCGTCCGCAAAGCCCCGGTACAGAACACGCGGTGGTGATCACGCAGAGCTACGACGGGCTCGTGGCCACGGTGGAGAAGGCGCTGCTTCACGTGCGGAACACGGAAGCGACCGCGCAGCAGGGGAGGGAAGCGGCAGAAAGGTCCCGCGGCGAATAGCGTCAGCGATCTCCTTAAGAAGGGGGGCGCGGTCGTCGTGCGCTGCGGGGGAACCACCATGCGGGATGCGGCTGCGGGACCACCGCCTGCCACCACGGAATTGGAAGCTGGTAAAGGCAAGGCCAAGGTCGAGGACGCCCCGCCCACCACCACCGCCATCACCACCGCGATAGTGCCCGCGGCAGGCAACACCGCCGCGGTCGCGCCTGGACAGCCTGGACCCAGCTCCATCGCCCCTGCAATCCCCCCCTCTGCAGATGTAAAGGCGAAGAATCAGGGCCGCGGTGGTTGTAAGCCGCCTCCAGCCGCGTTGAAGGCGGACCACGAGGACGACGACGACTCGGACGCGGACGATGAGGTTGAGCTGGTGCTGCAGAGGTTCATGGGGCCAAGCGACACCAGCGGCACTAGCGGCAAGCGCAAGGGCTGTGGTATCCGCCCTCCGCCCAGGGGTGGAGAGGGGATGGTGGGCGAACCGTGGCTGGGGGGGAGACGTCGCTGGCTGGGACATCACTCCTACCAAGAGGTGCAGTACCTGACCGCGATCGCGGTCATGTGTTACGACAAGAAGATAGACCCCGGGCTCAAGCTGAATGTGCAGCAGAAGAGTGAGTGGGCCGAGGATATCTCCGCGGCCGGGACGATGTGTACCGGGCTATTCACCACCATGCACCTCCGCAACCTTTGCGGCAACGTAGACAGGTACGGCCGTGTGATCAAACATTTCTTCCCCCATGATGACACGAACGCGGTCACTCTCGAGCCTAACCATGTCGCGTGTTTCCCCATGCATGCAGGTACCACCACATGTTCAAGGCCTACCGCGACCTCACCCGCCCCGGTTCCACCCTCGGCAACGCGGTCGCTTGGGCAGCAGCGGTGGGGAAGGAGGCCGCAGATGAGGAGCCCGATGTCACCGGCGCCCAAGAGGGCCTGTTTGCTGGCGCGGTCGCGTGCGCCATAGCGATGGTGTGGGAGACCTGCAACGGTCTCGATCTCGAGGGTATCGTGGATGCTGGATACGTCGCGGCGCAGAGTGCTGGCACTCCAGAAGAAAAGGCCCGCGCGTACGTCTCGATCGTGACCGCGGTCTTCAAATGGGCCAGGAAGGAGAGTGCTCGCACGCAACCCCCCGAGGTCACACCGAAACAGGTCGCGGAGAAGATAGAGACCGCGGTCGTGAACCGACTTGGTGCGCGACTTGGGGACCCCACACTGGTCGCAATGGTCGCGCACGAGGCAGTTGACGTGCTGATGAGCTGGAGCGACTGCAAGATCGCGGCCAAGTCCATGGAGGCGAACGGGCTCTATCTTGCTATGCCCGACAAGCGTCTGTCCGCGAAGAAGAGGTCCGCGTGAATTGTTGTGTGAACTCTTGTTGCTAGGGACACCCGTGAATAGTATAGGTAGCTTGCCCACCCTGCTTGAGATTTTCTCGCGGTGGTCATTCTGTCTATGCTGTGTACTCCCTTCCCTTCTTTGCCAGTAAACTCTGTTGCTACACATGCCACCTCCTTCCGAGCGCCAACGTATGCATGTAAATCTTGGCATGCAATGTCATGGAAGCTTACCACCCATTAGGCACAGACATACTCTGGTCGCGAACAAGGGCGAATGCGTACAATTAAAGACAACGCGACCGTGGTCAAGCGCGATACACCATATCATGGGAGCCAACCATACTACATACACACTTTGATCGCGATACAATCAGTATCCGTCAGCATCCTCATGCAACCAAAACATTTGGAAGCCCATAGTATACTCAGCTGCAAACAATCGCGATCTACACACTCGCGATCACCCAACGCGACCAACCATGGATTTCATCCATTTATTCTAGCGGTGGCATCTGTGCACAGTATTGAGGCCACGCGACTGTGAATTCAGACGCGTGAAGCGAGGCATCGACGAGGCGGTCGCGGACAAGCATCCATTTCACACGCAACTGCACCTCCACCGGAGTACCCTTCTTGAGCTGGCTCAGGTCCAAGTCAACACTCTTCTTCTTTACCGCGATCCCTTCCGATACACCCGACATGCCCACAGCACCTGACACGAGGTCGAGCTTGTCGAGCACTACCGCGATGTTGTCTCCTTGCTCCACCCTGTGGGCGATGAAGTTCATGAGTCGCTTGACACGGTTTATCGCGTTCTGGCCACCTCCCTCATCCCCAATGAGCGCGACCAATCGCGTAACTGCGCCGCGGGGCTGGGCCAGAAGAGATTCTGGACTCTCGCGGATCAGCGCACCTGCAGCGCTATGGGCTTCGAGTCCGTCACGTACTGCGCCGTCAGCTCGCCGCACGAGTAGTCGATGTTGTCGTGCACCAGGTAGCACGCGCCGTCCGTCTTCTTACCGTCGATGGTAATATCGGGGATGTACTGCCAGTACGTGCAGCTGCTGTACCCCGCGCACGTGTTGCAGCACGTCTGCGGGGACGCCTTCTTCAGCGTCAGCGGGTTGCCCTTCACGTACACCTCCACGCCCTGCTTGTTCTTGAGCAGGTTCGATGTCTTCCACTTGGCGGGGATGCCGCCCTTGCTGCAGTTGGCGGGCGTTCACGCGCCGTCCCCGGGCTTGCCCAGGTCCTTGTGGCACTTCATTTTGTTCCACCCGGCCGCTTTCACGTCAACCATCAGCATGCTGTCCGTGCTCGGGCTCACGATCGTCGTTCCCTCGAACTTGTCCAGGTTGCCCGCAGCCGCCGCCTTCTCGATGCCAGAAGGGACCTCCGACGCCACGCCATTGTCACCCTTGGCCTTGTCCAGGTTGACGGCGGGTTTGTTGGGTCCCGTCACGACGGTTTGTCCTGCGGATGCCACCGCCAGCAGGACGGCGAACGATACGACGAACAGCAGACGCGCCATGAGGAGTGTCTGTGTGGTCAACCGGTTACGAATATCAAAGTATAATATGGAACCTAATCAGACTAAGAAAAACGCGGGAGAACGTGACTTCTATGTTGCTGGATTGATTGACAAGCCCGCGGCTTGGGTCACAGCTAAAGTGGCAAAATCTGATGAGATGTCGCGTGTGCTAACTTCGCTTTGCTGAATGTCTGGCAGAGAACTCTCCCTTGTGTTCTTGTACCACTATCATTAGGCCTCTGCACGTCTTCACTGCTCAAACCCAGGTTTCGGGTTGAGGCTTGTTGTGAGCAGTAACCTCATGGGCTAACCGAATCGCGCTCAGCCAGGTGTCTCTCAGGGGAAGCTTTTCTACTGTACAGTACGAGCATTGCGACCTGCGCTGGGACAGGTGTTGCAGTCTTCTTCGCAGGTCCAAAGCGAAGCAGGTTTCCACTCAGGGGCATTCTCAACATGCGGTATTTTACGAGTCGCAGGTCTCAGGTGTGAGCAGTGGTCATCATTACTAGCCCACTCAGATCAGATGGTGAGTTGGTATTTCGTCGCAGCATTTCGCTGCTCCTCGTTGCGCTTCCTTCGCTCATTTCTCCCCTCATCCTTACCGACTCATCCGCACCGCGCCTAACCCAATTCCGTAATTTGCTACTCCGTCACTTCTTTCGCTCAACTCAAGTACAGATTTGTGCTCTCAATGTAACCAGCACAGGTAGCACCCAACACTTCCATCTCGATACCGCAACTCTCTGCTCGTGCTACCAAAGCTGCATTCCCGCGGGTCTCAATGTAACAGCCCTGCCCTTATAACAAACGGGCTGTAGGCTTAAAATAACAGAGTTTATAAAGTTGCAATACAAGATCTTGAAATTACAAGAAATACTCCACGTGATAGTCACCACTATGTAGATGGCGCGGAGTTCTTGAGTAGAGGTTTGTAGTAGTAGGGAGTTTCAGCCAAGAAAACCCTTGGTTGAAGAACTTGTCTCTTGAAAGAGTAGAGCTAGCTAGAGTTTGTGAGGGGAAGAAAATCCCTTAGTCAAAATCTCATTTCCAATATTGAGTTGTTGGAAGTTGGAATGGGAAGAATGAGCTCTTGGCTCAGACCCCTTCCAATACCTCCTTGGGGAGCTTCTCCTCCTCCATGGCCACAAGGTGGAGGAGCTCCTAAGGTGGGGTTGCTTAGGTGGCAAGGAAATATTGTAAGCCAATGAACATTGAGCACCTGCACACATTTGCAAGATAGGTTGTAACAAAATGGCTGCACAATTCTGGTTGGTTGGAATTCCAACCAATGTGAGGGTTGGAACGTTTTCCAACCTGGTTTGTCATTTTGTGGTGGTTGGTTACAAATGTTACCCAACCCAACCACTCTAGCTTCCCTGCACACAATTCCCTCGACACTTGCTAGCTAGCGTAGGTCGCGCTTAGCTTAGTTAGTCGACTAGGGGAACTAGGGAGCTGCAGATTAGGTAATACGTTACACTCCTCCCCCTCCAGTTGGCAACGTCCTCGTTGCCGTAGAGTGCTTCCGGGGACGAGTACTTCGAGCACGTCGTACCACATTACGACCAGGGTCAACACCATCCGCTGGATGTGGGACTGCTCGTCGAGCCAGGTCTTCCTTGTATGACTGAACTGCTGTTTCAGTTAGATGTTCTTCTGGCTCCCAAGAGTTGTGTTCAGGCCCATAGCCTTTCCACTGAATGAGGAACTCACGAATTGTTTTACGGCCGCGTTGTCGATCACGGTGTGTCAACACCCTGTCGACCTCATAGTATAGTTCCTCCCCTAGGACGATGGTTGGTGGTGGTAAGTACTTGCCTTCGGCAATATACTTATTAAGCAGAGACACGTGGAAGACGTTATGAATCTGCAATGTTGGAGGTAGCTTCAACTTATAAGCCACCTCACCAACCCGCTGGATCACCTCGAACGGCCCAATCCATCGAGGGAACAGCTTTCGTGCACCAGGGATTTTGAGTCGAATGTTCTTCGTACTCAACAATACATTGTCTCCAATATCGAATGAGACTTCCCGGCGTTTCATGTCGGCATATGATTTTTGTCGTTGTTGGGCAAGCTGCAGCCAATGGCGAGCAGACTTCAGTGCCTCTTGCTGCCACATTGCCAAATGGGCGGCGCTTCTTGTAGCTGCGCCAGATCTGCGGCACCTCATCGGCCGTCAGAAGATTTTAGCAAAATAACCCAAGAAAACCTCTCTAGCCACTCACTTTTGTACTTATACAGAGCCTCCGCGTAAATCGCGTCATGGCTTGCCGGTATAGAAGGCCCTGGAACTGATGGCGACTCCTGCGTGCCTGCGGTCGCGGGCGTCGACCGTTGGTCTGCAGGTGAAGGCGGAGTAGCTCCAGCGTTACCACCCATCTTGCCCCATGGCAGCGTTGACTGGGTGTATCTGGCGTTCTTCTTAGCAACTGGAACCGCCGCAGTTTCTTCAACAGAAGGCGAGGAGCTGTCTTTCTCTAACACAGGCACTGTAGGTGACGCACACAACCCCTCATCTATGGGTTCGAAAGGAATAAAGTTGGGCGGCGCGACTGCAGGTGACTTTTCAGGTTTTCGACTTCCGCGCGCGGGTGCTTCTGCGAGGTCCTCATCAGGTGCTTGAGCAGGTGTCGCCGCTGCTTCTTCTGCTTCTTCTTCTCCGTTCGCCGTCGTTAACATTAGCACGAGGAATTCCCTGTCAAGAATAATAGATAGGGGGATATTGGTTCCAGGGATGGTTCCTGGGAAGAAGGTTGGTTCGCGCGGCTCGGGGGCAGGCCCGTAGACGGTGCGTCGCGGGGTTGACGGCTCGTTCCCCCAGTCGATGGTGTCCCAAGGGTCACTTCCTGGCGGGATGTCAGGTGGGGGCAGTGCGGGTGCAGGGCGGCGCGGAGGACGACCAAGAGGAACAACAGGAGGTTCGGCCTCAATGGCCTCCTCAATTTCTTCTCCTTCCCCCCTTTGGTCCTCGCGGAAGGCTCCCCAACCACTTGTTTCGCCGCCAGATGCGGCTCCCCATCCGCCGGTGTTGCCACCGGTGACTGCTCCCCATCCGCCAGTGGCGCCGCCGATTGCGGCTCCCCATCCCCCGGTATCGCCGCCAGTGTCGCTCATGTCCCATCCGCCAGCGCTTCCCCACCCCCCTTCATTGGGGGCGCTCTCTTCTTCGCCCCATCCGCTCCAGGCGAATGTTCCGCGTGACTCCGCAAGGCTTCGTTGGCGAAGTTCTTCCGCTTCGCGGCGCGCCAGTTCCTCCCCTTGTGCAACAGTGAGCTTCTTCGTGGAGTCGCGCCGATGAGCGTAGACCTCCAGGAATTTCTCCTGCGTGTAGGGTCGCGGATTTCCTTCCGCATCGAAGGTCCCGACGCCAACGCCGCGCAGCATTCCGTGAAGGTGTTGTGATGCAGGTCCTGGGAGAGGAGCTTCCTCCGTTCCGAAGACGATGCGCGTGGCTGTCTCGAGCTCCAAGCGAGACAACCCTTCTTCAGGCGGTGCCTCCCGCTCTGCTTCAGCGATGGCGGCAAGGCCACGGCCGGCGATCGCGCTCGTCAAGGCTGTAGGCGTATGGCAATCTCTGCAGATGCCGTCGGGGTCGGGGTCATGCAGCGCCGTTTCGCGCGGGTGTGGGTGATGCGGCACCCATGGGCGCCCATCAGGATGCTTCCAATCACGGCGGAGGATGTGTTCGAAGCGCAGGGGGACGAGATCGATCAGTTCCTTAGAGTCGCCACTGCAGTTGGGGATGCTGAAGTCGAGGATGTAAACTCCGTTTTCGGAGTGTGCTCGCCCGATCTGCTTGCGCGATTTGTCCGCATCGTGAAGTGAAGCAAACTGTCACGTGTCTCGGGGTCGGTGCTAAGGTCGACCCCGCAATCCATGAGCTGTGCCGCCGAGAGGAGGTTAAAACGCAGATTCTGCACGATCAGCACGTCGTTCAGCGTGATATGCGTCCTGCTCCCGCGGGCACTGAGTACAACGATGCCTTGCGCGCTTGCGCGCAGGCGCGTGTTATTTGCCACGGTGACATAGGTGATGGCGGGGGTGGCGACGGCGTTGGATATGTAACGCTCGGAGCCCACCATGTGCTGCCCACAGCAGCTGTCCAGGTACCACGTGTTGTAGCGCCTGTTGTCGTTACGTGCGAGCAGCGCCAGTCGCGGAGTAACGATGTGTGGTGTGTCAACCTTTAGGAATTGTTCGCGCGCGATCCAGTCGATCGGTGCCGCCCTTGTATCGGGTACGTGTGGGGGGCTCTCGAGCAGTGGGACTGGCAGGTTCCAGTCCTGGTTGTCGTCGTCTGTGAAATCGTGGCGTGTGCTAAACGGATTGTTGTTCGAAAACGCTCCGATTGGGTGAAGTGCTTCCTCCGGTGACGGTGAACGCGCACGGGGATGACGAGATCCGCTCGTCATTGTCATGTTGCCCATGACATTGCGAACGGGAGCAGTTGGCGGCTGCTGCTGCTGATGCTGAATCGTTGGATTCAGGTTGCGCGGTCGGGGTTGATGCCCCTGGGCGGGACGCGCGTCATTCCTTGCGTCTTGTCGTCCGGACCAGTTGCTCGGATTGGTCAGACGAGGGCGAGATCGATGTTTGCATCGATCTGCCAGGTGCCCGAAGTTTCTGCAAATCTTGCAGTAAAGGCACCGCGGCCGTCGCTCTTCCGTGGTGTCGGCGTAGAAGGCGAGGCGTTCCCTGTCTCGTCGCGGCGCTGGTCGCTGCTGGTCCATATCCCGTTGTTCGACGAGGAGGGCGGCGCAAAGGGCGGCCTCCGAGATGACCCCCTGCTGTCGGAGAAGCGCCTTGCAGGGCCGCCACTGGTGCCATTCTTGTCTCCAGTAGCTGCTGGAGTAGGCGACTCGACGAAACCGAGTCCTTCGGTTGGTAGACGCCGTTTAGGTGGCGCCAAGCGTCGAGGGCTGGGGCAGGCGTTGTCTTGTATGAGCGAATGCTCAATTGCTCCGCCGGCGACATGTTTCGCAGAAGAACTCCGTACG